TCAGCCCAGGACTGCAGAGCCTCTTATCAAAGTGAATTACGAGTCATGACGCGTCTCGCTCTCACTCACTCCGTCTCACTGGCCAACACATTCCCATCTCCTACATTAGATAATGCACAGCCTGTTTCTATTGCTGTTGACAACAGAGGGGTCCTGGGTGGATTACAAAGAGTAGAATGATGAGGAGGCTAGTTTCATAAAGTTTCAAAATGCTGGAGACAGTGGCAAAGAGGGAGGAAAGGCTTAATAGAAGTACGTTTACATGAGTAAGGTGCTAGTTGTCAGGGAGTTTTAAAATATGTTTATCTGAGACAACTGCAGAACAGTTCTTTGGAAAATAAAATGCCCCTTTCCTAATCCATTCTGCTCAGCCCTGCAACTTATGTAAATCTCTTCCCTGCATTAATGAACTATTATGACAAATACTGAGAGTATATTTACTGTGTTGACAGAGACTGCCCTCCTCAGTCCCCGAGGGCCAGAATGAGTTATAGATTACCTTCTGTAACCCTCTTCTCTCCCTGCCTCTGTCTTCTTCCCTACTTCTAGCTGTAACTCTCTTTCTCTCCCGTTTAGCCATATGGGGAGTGACACATGTATCTCTCATCTTCTCCCACAGAGCAACGGGGCTGTGCCGCACTGCTCTGTGCGGTATATAGTTAGCACAGCCTGTGGTGATGTATTGAGTGTAATGGCCAAGAGCATTTGTTGAGATTAATTGATACTAATGGCTAACACAGTTAGCACTGAGTGATCACTGCTACACTGCAGACACACTGGAGGATTAGACACAAATCAAGTTACGACTCCCACTGCAGCAAAACGCTCGGTGTGTTCTGTCATCTACAATGTGTGGACTCGAATATAAGAGAAGAGCGTGGGGCCCCCCTTCAGCCACTAGTCAGATGGGAGTGATACTGCGTACTGGAGGGGCTTTGATCCAAACTGTAACATCCGCAGTTTGACAACCAAAGTGTTAAATAATGATAATGACTAGTGACATTCAAGCAGAGTTAACTGTCGGGTATCAGCTCTGTAAGTAAAAAAAATAAAACGTTTCTTCATTGTGCAAAAGTGTGGATTAAAAATAAATAAATAAATCAACCAGAAAGTGAATCATGCAGGCCCGACAGGTGGCATGCAGCTCACATACTGGAGCAACATAATGACAGGAAGTGATGTGAACAATGGACTGCAAGAGAGACGCCAGTGTAATCCATTTCAATCATGTCTGTGCAAAATCCAGACAAGAGATGCATGTTAACACATGGCATAAAGCCAGGGATATAAAATCATTTTCATCACTATAACTCAGAAGCAACCGCAATTTGGTGGGAGCTCTGAGCTAAAGTGCATTTGTAAGAAAGGCTTTTGTGACAAGAAATGTCAGTAAAAGCTTTGCCAAAGTCCCAGTAATGTGCAGGCTTCCATTTTACACAACAGAACTTCAACATAATTTATGGAGATTTACTGTTAAATGACCACTAGACATATCAAAGTGCAATAGGAAAGGCTCTCTGAAACAGAACAATCAGAACCTGCAAGTTGAATTGATTTTCTTGTTACAAATTACGAGAAACACTAATCCAGAGGGCATGTGAGAAAATAGCAATTGCAGTTACTCGGGAGTTTTGTTCCACCAAATACATTACATACAGAATCAGTCTCATATCTCACTGGTGACACTTTTACAGACAAAACGATGCTATGTACATTTCAGAATTAAATGATGAATATACAGTTTTCCCCTCAGCAGATCAGCCGTGTAGCGTTTTGACAGAACAATCATCTGTCCAAATCAAGTCGGTGCAACACTGCAACTGATCCTCCTCTCCTCGGCTTCTGCCTCCTGTTAATCACAGAATGTGACTTGACAACTATTTGAAAAAGTGCCCATCATTCCCTTAGGCCAGATGACTCAGCCAGTATGGCTGCCACTCCATCACAGTGGGCTGGCCCAAAAAGGTTCCCTTATTGCTCCAATCACTCTATCACTACTCCCCTTCATCTCCCTGCTCATAACTCTAAGAACTAATTCTCTCTGACTGCAGCCCAACTTCTGAACTGGGTCACTGGTCTTGCTTTGCCGAGACAAAGTGTGCTGTTGCTTTTCATCTTTTTCAGCGGCCTGACTGACAGCTCTGACAGCATGAAGGGTAGAAGAGGAGTTGCTGTGCTGTGCTTCCTCCCCCTCCTGCTCCACTGTGGTTTAAACTTTCTATCGAGTTCACATACCCCATACAGTCTGCATGCACTTCTGCCCTCTCATTCCCTGCCCAATCCCACCATCCCTCTGCGTCAACGTCACTGTTGCAACCCTCGCCCCATTAGCATAATACTCCCATTCCCTTGCTGTCTCGGTCCTTCAATTTCAGACAAACTGCTCTGCATAGTGGGATATGCTTCTTCTGTGACTGTATTTGTTTTCCCACCCTATTTGTCCCACTCTGTGAGGATGAGGTTGCAGGGACAGAGAGAGATATGTGAACGAGATACAGAGTAATGGTGGGAGAGATGAAGTGCAACACTGTCCATCTGCATGGCTGACTTGCTCAAACCACTTACCCCAGTGATCTATAATGTGTTAGTATCTTACCACTTTTACACCAGATGTGCTTCTGTCTCTCAGACACACACACACACACACACACACACACACACACACACACACACACACACGATGGCTTTAGGGGAAAAGCTCGGAAATGGGACCATTCTAGTTATCACTTTGTTTTGTTTCTACTTTGTTGACACTCAAAATACCACATGTGCATACAGGAGCAAAATGTAGACCCAAACCTAACCCTCAGTGGAAGCACAGGCAAGCTGCCATCTGCAATGACCACATAAAGAAACATAAAGATCATCCGTGCTGGAGTATCAACTGGGATTGGTATAAATGCGGGACAGCTCAGAGCAGCTGGGGCTTATAGATTGTGTTAGAGACTTGTAATAGCCTAAACTCCAGTAAGTGCCTGCAGCTCTAAGCAACTGAACTGAGTAATATATCTGCTGTCAAAAATGCAGTAAAAAGAATAAAGCGTAAATAATAACCTAGAACAACTTGCAGTCTCTTTTCAAACATAAAGAAACTAAACGACCAAAACTAATACCCCTGCAATACCACAGTAAATCCACAGTCATCACTTATTATCATCAGTGGAAGGCTTTCACTTTGAAGCAGAACAAGACACAGTACCATTACAAGTAGACTTCTTTCAGTAACTTTTGTTTTCCAGCAGCTATTTGACCTGCAGATACACTGTAGCCTTATTCAGCCCTTACTTTGTTTTTTAACACAGTGCAGCTGTTTGAAGCAAAAACACTGGAGGCACTCTAAGGAAACTGCACCAACATGAACATTGGGATGAACACATTGATAAATATTGCCTATCTAGATCTGACTCATTTAAAATTGTTCTTATCCACATACCGGATTACATGATTTTATCGGTTTAGATATTCATAATACACACCTAATCTGAATAAAAGCTAAAAAACAAGTAGGTGATCAAACTAGGTCACTTTTTCCAGGCAGTGTAAATAAAGATAGCCATACGTGATCAGAAAAACTAGAGGACACAAGAGCAGTGGGCCAAACATGCCATTGCAGTCAACTACCTTAATTGTCAGTCTGTCTGTCCGTCTGTCTTCCTCTCAGACTTATTGCTACCATGTGCTGCTAGCACATCACTGGACAGATGTGAGGGATGGAGGATTTACTTAACTCTATCCAGCAAGGAGAGCAGGAAGGAAAACAGCATATCCTACAACACCTGTCACATGTCAACAGCAGACCATTGCTGTGCTACATCGCCCTCTGTCGGTCACTGGGAGTACAGAGGAGCGGCTCCACAACGTAGGCATCTAAAGCAAGATGTTAACAATTGCTCACTGGCTCCATCAGTGCAAATATGCTAAACCATAAATTTTCTTGAACTACAGCACAAAGGTTTTAATTAGTGCTGACACACTGAATCATATACCATATGGAAAGATAGTAAACACAAGCAGGATAGCAATAAATATTCAAGGTCACTTAAAGTGATTGTGCAAAGTGCTATGTGGTTGATTAATAGACTGGACCATGCCTATGAGCAACATACAGCAGGTTTAATAACTACGTGCGTGTGCATGAGCTGGTAATACTCATGTTGTGGGGACATAAATCTGTCACACTGTGGGGACTTTCCATCCTTCTGGGGACAAAAAGAAAGTGCCCAAAATGTAAATCTGAAGTGATGGAAACAACTGTGTATGTGTGAGCATGAAGGAGAATACAGAGACAGATTAATGGATATACTCTGGTTGGGTACTGACTTACTGTATATCATGAGTGATATTTCTTCTCATCTGCTTTGCTTTTTTCTCATCTGAGAAAAGATAAAGCAGTTTAATTTTCACTGTACTTATGGTACCACTACAGCTACAGAACAGATTTAGTAGTAGTATGCAAACAAATATTTCAACTACACAACAGTACGTAAAGTAGTGAAAACCATCTCACCGTTCTGACCATCAACATCGAAAAGTCACACATTAACAGCAGTAGGACAGTAATATATATATATATATGTAGGCCACAGACAAAGGCCATTCTGTTTCAATAGTTAATACACATTTTGCTTATAACAGTATACTTTTATTCAAGTAAAAATTGTGAATCACTTGTTGTTTACTTGTTGCAGATTATCTTCTCTTACTTAAGTAATAAGTCTCCTGTCACTATGTTCAGAAGTGCACGCAAGGCAGATGCAATGCAATGCTACCAGTAGAGGGCAGCAGACCTCTTGTCACGTTCTCTCAGCTCCCAGTTCAACCAGTCAGTCAAAAGATTATCTTTTTGATGCAAGGGCCAGTGCACTCCTCCATTTAGGAGGGACAATAAAAGAGGGCGGACTTTTTTTTTTTTTGGCTGTACAAGCTAAGTACCTGATTGGTTCAAATCTTCTGACTACTTTTTTCCCCCCTCACTGAACTTTCCTCTATAAGACCTTTACTGATATGAAAGCCTCATTCTTCTGATGTCTGCAACAGAGCTCAATTGATGGAATTACTCAGTTGCAGGAGAAGAGAAAACTTTAACACTGGATTTACTTTTACGGTGGAATATCGATTCTACGATTTGATTTTATGCTGCATCATTCCACATTTTGGTTCATTTTTTTAGCCACACTCAGCTTTATTTTTAAGCTTTTTAACGGTTTCTGAACTTAGGACTAATAGTCTTTACATGCAGCTTGCATGATGGTGAACTCGTGTCTCCACCTGAGCGGCTTCCTCCTCAGCTCTCTCGGCTGGCTGGGCATCGTGATCGCAACTGCCACCAACGACTGGGTGAATATGTGCAAATATGGTTTGAACACCTGCAAGAAGATGGATGAGCTGGGAGCCAAGGGACCCTGGGCAGAGTGTGTCATCTCCACAGGACTCTACCACTGCACCTATCTAACACAGATCCTGGATCTGCCAGGTAGACACTGTTCTGTTTATACATGTACATTTGGATGGTATTCATACTGTGATGTCTTGCTTGGTGTTGAGTGATTAGGTACATCTTATTTCCACCACTTCTCCTTTCAGACCCTAGCACCTGTTCTGTCCAAACATAAAACTAGACATTAATATTTATTTCTGATTTATCAGTTAAGTTATCAAAATAGTTATTTAACTCATAATGCTATTTATTCCCGATGTACTTGAACATTTTCAATATGAAAGGTTTTATTTTCTTTGCTTTTTGACAGTATTATCATATTGTGTTTTTCTATAGCCTACATCCAGACTACTCGGGCCCTGATGATCACAGGGTCAATCCTGGGTCTCCCAGCGGTGGGGATTCTCCTCATGTCTATGCCCTGCATCAATCTCGGCAACGAAACCCAGAGCTCCAGGAACAAACGCACCATCCTGGGAGGAGTATTTATACTCGTAGTTGGTAAGAAAGGCAGCTTAGTGAATATAAACCGAATGTCACAAAATGCTTACAAGCTGTTGGGAGTACAGGATGCTGAATATGACATATTCAGACATGTGCACATACTTATGGGTTCCTGTTCCATTAATCCTTCCCCCCAGAGCCCATCAGATTCCTCCCCTCCACCTACTCTCATCCACACCCTAATTTTGCCCTAAGTCACAGAGACAACATGGAAACCCACTCCCTCGATTGTCCAGTGTACTGTGCTTATAAATAACTGACTCACGCAGCAGCATTTTCCAATGACCCTAAAATAACACTTCCACCTGGGTTCTTTTTCTTTTCCACTCCCCTGGCGAGTTCATAGCAAAGCTGTTTCTCACATGTGTATTACACCCATTAATCACATCATCCAATTACCATTCTAACATTTTGAGTATATACAAACAAAATAGCACTCAGTTACATGATCTTCTGTTTTGTTCTGGGGAATATTTTCACATCAGAGAGGATTTGTTTGTGTGCTTGTTTGCAAAAATAACAGCAGAACAAAGATTCACTTGCCATAGCATGGCTGCCTCTGTATTAGCACCAAAATCATGCCAGCAACAATAAGCTTAACGCCATCTAAACGCCCCAGTTACCAAAAACTACTTGACACATATCACCCACACCTTTCTAAGGCATTTCTCAAGCTGGTCAAGAACAGCAGCTCCGATCACAGACTGCCCCAAAATTCACATGTACTAGTCACAAAGCCTTAACTACCCACTCCTGGGCTTACTAGAAGATCCAGACACAACATAGGCATTGCTTAAAACAGGAAACCAGTTTAACAGCTGCTTTACTGACAACTCATCTGTCCACATGTGAACTTGGTCGGAAAGTGGCTCATGAGTTTTCTGCAAGCCGAGGTTTCCACCGGAGATACTGGCCGCTACAGGTCACCTTTTACCCTTTAGAGACACCCGTTTTATCCAACTTCTTCTGCTTCACCTGCGGCTTGGAGACGCCAGCATTCCCCTACAGGTGTCCAGAGTCCGAATCCGGCTCGAGTGGAACTTCTCAAAGTACTTCTTCAGATTGTTAGTGCTATCCCATGTTTAAAGTGGCATTCTACTTTGGCTGAGGGTAATTTCTCAGTAATGTTTTCGTTCTCTTCAGCAACAAGATGATAAAAAAAAACGGGCACTACCTCCACTTGACTATTGCAGGTGCGCCGAGTTTTTCCAAAAAAGGAAAAACAGGAAGTGACCGTGAAAAACAGATGTTGTTGAACGGCTTCCGTTGGATCCGGGTTTGATAACAACGCTGGAACAGTTTCTGAAATGTTGGGCTCATTTTGAAAAGAAATTGTCAAAAGAAAGTAACTAGACGAATATAGTAATAAAATACAAGCTAACAAACGCACACTAGATGGTGCTTGTAGTGTAGTTCGACAAATCTGTGTAAATCTATTTTTAATCTTTCATTTTTAATTATTTTATTATTATATAATCATATAACATGCCATGTCATCCCAATTTGTTAAAGCGTATTGTATTTGTCAGCACCATTTTGCACTCTTACAGTGTATGTGCTTATTAGTTACTTTAATTTATACCATTTTGCTTCACTACTTATATACTAATTTTCTGTGTGGTGATGCTTCATGAACTCGTGCAAAATGTGAATTTGTTATATTCAACACCACCATTTTGCCTTCCCAATTTAATTACACTTTCTAAAGTATGACCGTTTAGTTGCACGGTTTTATATTCCATATTTAACTGTTTTTCTGTGTGTTTCTCCTCAGCACTGTGTGGTATGGTGTCCACAGTTTGGTTCCCCTTTGGGGCCCACCAGGAACATGGCCTCATGTCATTTGGCTTCTCCCTCTACACTGGTTGGGTGGGCACGCTCTTCTCCCTGCTGGGGGGGTCCATTCTCACCTGTTGCTCCTCAGAGTCATCCTCCTCTCACTCCTACCAGGACAACAACCGCTTCTACTATTCCAAACAGGGAGGTAGCAACGTGCCAGCCACCTCCTCCACCAATCACGCCAAAAGTGCCCACGTCTGAGATGGGAGAGATTCTGAATCCCACACGGGCTTTGGAGACTGTAGTTAGTTTGTATATAGAGACATAGAGCAGCCTACACCAGAGCACACAAACACACATATTCACATTCAGTGCAATCACCATGACATGCAAACCTATACTGGGAAGAGGAGACACATAAACACACATGTTTGTTGGTGCATGTGAAGGACAACACACAAATTCTTGAAGGAGCACATAAGCATACATACTGTAAAAGAGACACTCGCACATTCAAACACACAAAGACTGTTTTCGGTGGAGCTCTCTTTTTTTTTTTTAAACCAGTGGATTGTTTTTGTATCTCAGAGCTGATCTTCCAGCCTCTTCATCTTGGGTGTGGTGTGGACTCCCCTGATTTGTTACATAATTGTACAGGCTCCCAAATAACTGCCAGCACAGCAGTCTGAAGTCCCGGTCGCCTGAGGCTTCGTGAACCAAAGTATTAATCTCCTATGTTACTTCTATTTTTCTACTGTGTACCTAGAGATGAAGTCTTATGAATGCCTTTGTTGAAAAATATGTTTTTAAACCATATGATATAATAATCTATTGTTTTGATAAGAGCAGGGTATGACAGCACTACATTATGTTTGAAATTTTATTGTGTTCATATTAACAGTGTTTATGTATATTGATTTTTTTGTACAGTATTGTACAGCTCTCTGGTGCATTTGCCTCTTGACTTGATTTAAAAGGCAGCAATGTTTTTTTTTTTCTCCTACTGCCACCGCAGGATGACTGTAGGATGAAGGGAACATCAATTTCACAGCATAGCTCCAGCAAGCAGTATTGGGTCTCTATTAGCCTGTGCACTGGTTTAGCAAAAATAACTTGTCCATACGTGTGTCATCTGATAGGGAGATTTAATAATCTAACGTTGAAAAATTCAAATTTGTTTCATTACTAACTTGCTTCTATTTCAGATAACAACAGAGATCAAAAGAAGTATATCCTGTAACTGTGATAAAATCATCAGTGTGCACGGAATCGGCGTTATGTAGATTAGATTGTCTTGAGGGAATATGATGACTGTAATGCTAAACATCTCACAGATGGACTCTGATATTCCCAAGACAAAGAAACCTGATCTTTCCAACTCAGATCCACACAGAAGCAGTATTAGCTGGTTATTTATTATTTCACTGATGCGCTATTGTTAGATTTTCTATAATAAAGACAAAAGAATTAAAACCACCTTTGTTGGGGGTCTGTCAAACTGAGTTAATAAGATGATCTCATCCCACACATCACTTCTCATCCTCTCTGGGTGTTTAGTTTGAATCAGACACAAATACAAATGCAGGAGGCAGAAGCTGAATGATGTGTGTTACTTTTGTGTGTGTGTTTGTGGTCAGCAGGGGAGGCCTAGTACAGCGTGACTCTTGGGAACAGCCTCTTCTGTGCTGACCTAACTCAAGGTCACTGAGTCACATTACAGATATGAAACATTAGTAACAATTCCTATATTACATTTACACACATACTGACATTACTATTACACTCAGAGCAGTCAATAATCTGTCACAAATCTGCACTGAAAAGCATAACAGAAAGATTTTTCCAGTACAGTGATTGCTGTACATCATACACACAGATATACAGAATGCAACAAAGAAAGATAATTGTGTTCAGTTTGTTGCCGACTGTGTGCTCCTCTGTCCATATCAAGGTCCCCTAGTCAAATCACCAATACTACATGATACTTTGGGAACAATATGTGCTATCTCATTGTCCTCAGCTTATCTGAGGACACCCACACACACACGATCATGTCCTTGCTACATACTGATCTCCACTCGGTTACTGTATTTCTACACATTAATTTGTCACTTTACAGTGTTTGTTTATTTCCTGGCATGTAATCATGCCAGTGTGTGCATTCCCTAAATAGTAATACTGCTCCAGACATAGAGCCATTAAGTTTGCAGGAGGCCAGTGGGATGGTGTCAAGCTATCTAAAAACAATTGTCTAAGAAGACATTTAAACAGAAATGGTTTTAATCTCCTCTTTTCATACACAAGCTTCACTGCTCTGTGATATTTAGTCTTTTCCAGCAAATTATTATTATTTTTTTATATCCATGTCCATCAACCATCTGCCCAGAATACCATTCCACAATATTCTGAGAATATCCATGAACTGTTCCCCTTCCACTGCATAGCTGAAGAGATCAAAAACCATAGCAAGCATGTTACAGCAGTGAGTTTCCCAGTAAAGAGGGAGTGAAAGTGAAGACCTCTTATCTAAAAAGTTGTGTTATGGTTTATTGAAACAACACTGCTGTTGGTTTTCTCACACTTTGTTGTTTCAGAATGTTCCACTGAATTTCTCCACCTCAAGTTGCTGATATTTCATTCTTCGTGCAAAGACATGAGAGTAGCATCATCAGAGGGACAGTGCCACATACCACAACCCTTATATATAGCCTGTCAGTTTTCAGTGCTCATTCCTAGATGAGCCTCTGTAATATAAAACACAAACCTGCATAAATTCTGGCTGCTCAGAGACTTTGGGGCAACATTGGGCCTGGTGTTTCATTACAAAAGACGTATCACCCGGTGCAGCGTTTCTATCACAGTTGACCAACTTAAACCAGGAGCTGGCAGCTGACAGACACTGACCGAGTAGAGGCAATTCATCATCACTTTTAGTCTCTGTATGGAGATTGCTGAAAATGTTGTTAATATAGAAAATGACCAGCCTTATCCTTTAACAAAAAAAGGTCTAAAGAATTCCAGCCTTGTTGTCCACAGGTTTAAGGAGAAATTTTTGGGTAGCATTTGTTGCTCATCAGCCCCAACTAGATTCCAAAGCACTTCGCTCTTCTATGTCTGGTAAACACAGAAAACTAAGTTCAACACCAGAGTTTGTTTTCCTAACTTACAACCATTCATAATATCCCTGTGTAACTGTACAGTATATGTGTGTATGTGCATATTCATCTGGAGTGTGTGAATAAATGAGCCAGCCTCTGGTATTTGCAATGAATAACTTTCATTGTTGGAAGCAATATCAACAACTCAGCAAAAACAACGCACCCAGGAGCAAAATAATTATACATATGGAAGAAACTATTGAAAATTTAACATTAAAAAACAATTACATTATACAGCTTTGTGGCAAAATATACAGAAGAGAAAAGGAATATCTAGTTGTTGCGAGAGAAGTCGATCTCAACAAGCCTGACGCACACTGACTGGACGCTTGGCCACAGCAAATACAGAGCACAGGAAGAACATGGCACACCTTCTCCAAGACAAAATAAACAAATAGTAGCTGACTTTAAAAGCAATAGTGGCAATATTAGATTATTCTTTTAGTTTGCTTTTCATAGAATTGTATTAAACGTTTGTGCATATTTTCTGTTGTACTTTCACTCCTAAACCTTCTATGGTCCTACTGTATTAATGTCTAGAGCAAGCATTCCAAAATCCTTCAAAGGAAGGGATTAAGGGCTTTAGAAATAAGCTTTATCTTTTTAGAGAGACTACATTGTTAAAAATATATTTTTAGGAATTTTTTTTTAGCTTCCCAGGCCTCTGTGTGATTAAACAAAAGTACAGAAAGTGAAGGCTGATAACTCCTCCCAGGTCTTTTGTGCACACGTACCCAAGTAGGGCCAGTGAATGGGAAACAGCTGTAGAAAAATACTTTTCTTTTAGTTCACTTCTTCTTTAATGTTGTACTTTTTTCACTGCATCATCTCAGTGCTAAACAAATGCATCTGCTAGTATTTGCGGTCTAGACTAATACTTTTCAATCTTTTAACGAAATACTCGGACTTAACTTACAACTAAAATTGCACTGTTGACTAAAGTCACAGAAAGGAAAAAGATCAGTCTCTTGTGATAAACTGACATTAGTAGCTTATTAGCATCGTTAGCTCTGTTGTACGAGTGTTCTCGCTGAAGAAACTACAGTCTGCTGTATTTGAAAAGTAAACAAACAATATGGACTTTGGCTTGCTGATGCTGTGGTTGAGAAAAAGGATATACAGGACGTAGGTATAGTGTAAGTGGTGGAAGGAGTTAAGTCATCCCCACGCCTGTGTGTTTGCTACATGTTGTACTCCCTTTTCAAACAAAGCCTTGGTTCCCATACCTGGGTAAGGAGATTATTGAATGAGTTTATAGAAGTACAGCAGATAATATGTGAACTGAATATATTATATAACTGAATATTTGAACTGAATTCAGTGTAATATTGAGTTGTAAAGTAAAAGAGTGGTTTGGGTTTGAATCTGAAAAGAAATTAGCATTGTGCAAGGAATACAATATCTCTTAGTTCAGTTCACTGGTAATAATCTTGAACAAGGGTGTTTTGTTTTCTTAAAGCTGATTCAGTTGTAATACACCTATTAAATCTGCTGACAGCACAGAGACCATGGTTCCCAGGTTTAACTAAGCCTGCGTTTGGTTTGGTTTAGTTTTCTGTTATCTCTTGTTGCAGTCGCCACATGCAAGTACAACAATTACATCTCGGCCTCGTGTATGAGGGCATGCTACACATTCACCGGACGGTCACATTGAGGCGCACGCTCAGGCCACAAACACACATTACACACGCGTACACTACATGCACTCACACACGCTTAATGCATACACACAAAGCAGATTATGCAGAAAGCCGGCTGCACAGTTCGGTGTCAGAGGCATGGCGCGGCCTAGCTACTGTTTGAATGCAAAGCAACAGGATTCTTTTAGCTGAGTTGGGAGGTGATCTGGGTGGGGGGGGCTATTTGGCTGAACAGTACAACTGTGTTTAGAGGTGAGATATAGTGTGCAAACATGGATGTGCTATTTAACAACCCTGTTGTTAAATCGAATTCTGCAAAACCTCATATTATGATCAATGGCAACATATCCATATATAACATAAAATATTCATATCTACAACACCCATGCATTTCAACCACAGTATGATTCAGTTTAGGAAGAGATTGTGGTTATGGCAAATAAACTACGGTGAAGGTTTGGCAGCTAAAACAACTAAGGTCATTGTAATTAAGGCAACTTTGATTGCTGTTCTCAGGGCTGTTGTCAGGATTTAAGAAACTTTGAGATCATTGGGTCCCAGTCCCCAAGCTGCAACCCTACTCTCATATCAAAATTTAGACCAGACACAAAAGGCAAGTCAATACATTTTTTTTAAATCCTATTTTGTGTACATATTATTTGGCTATTAAGGATTTTATTTTATTGTTGTTGGCCTTAACGTATTAAAATGAAACTATTTTGAGTTGAAAAGTACTGGAATCAGTTTGTAACTTTTAACTCCCAGAATAGGCACAGAGAACATGACCTACAACTCATGTCTCTGCATGAAAGATAGATGGGCTGGGTTTGGGGACGGGTATCACAATCATTACCGCTGGACAGCATCAAAGGGCCTCTTCCCATCTGAAGGAAACTGATTGGTAAGTGTGGATGGATGTGAGAGGAGCAGAGGCAGGGCGGGACTTGAGTGTGGCATCCTTAGATTTAGTGCATTACACAAATAAGGCTTCCCTGGAAGGGAGAGATGCAGCAACAGGGGCCACAAAGAAAAGGTACAAGGAGGACAATCAGGGCAGACAGCAGCAGCTATTGTAGAAGTGCCCCCACCCTCAATTTAATTATAAAACCATATGCTATGTCAACCTTGTCTCCTAGAAATTACACCTGTATACAGTTAAACTGCATTCTGAATTACGTTAGGAGACAGGGTTGGCTATTTGGTGTATGCCAAAATCCTTTACACTAGCATAACTGTATACATTCTGAGTATGGAATCAAACCACTCACCTTGGCAGCATTAGCGTGCACATCCTTCACAATGAGCTATACAGCACCATGATTTGATCTGAGGTGCAGCAATAGTGTAGGTGTTGTACTATGTAGTGTGGGACTTCAACACTAGCTACATGCATACACAGATGTGGTAGAGAAGTAAAAGCAGGAGGGGGGGAGGGGGAGAAAGAGAGGGTTAGATATCAGTTCACTCAATGTGAGAGTAAAATGTATTTACAACTTATTCTTTCTAATGGTCTGTATGAAAATAACTGGTGTCCGGAGAATGGCTGAAACAAGCTGTATGTTTCACATTTTAAAAAAAGCAAGTCTCTCCACAGCATTATTCATATTTTCTATGGACCTCCCTCTTGAATCAAATAATATGAGTTTCTTTCTTTTAATTTTCTGCAACAAAAATAGAAAGGAAAATAGACTGCCTCCCACTTTCTAATATTTTTGAGCAGTCCCTGATTGTTTTCTTCATAAGCAGAAGACAAAACCCATTTACTGAATGAACTGATTCTTTCCCAGTTCTCATAAACAGCAAGAAGTGCATCAACTGAGAGACAAGCAAACAGAAAATATAACATTCATTACAATATACCATGCAGGTTGTCAATTAGGACTAAACCTGTCATCTCGCTCTCTCATCCCCTCTATTCTGGATTGCTTTGTTGCTGGCGGATTGATTCCCTATATTCTGCGCCATGGATTGCTTTGTTGCTGGCGGATTGATTTTGAGCTTCATGCTGAGGCAAAGAGTGGGAAGAACAAACAAAACAAATACCTACACATACACAGTACACACTTTGTAGCTACACACAGACATGAGAATCAATGTAAAAGGTGGAGTTTGATTGCACATGTACCCTCACAAGTACACCGGGAAAAATTAAACTGGAAATCAGACACAATCAGAAACTCATCATACACATACAGTAGATGAAGGCACTATTGCAAGCAAAGTCCAAGTACTATTTGTGACAGAAAACATTTGCCAGTCAATTCCTGAGTCCCTTGGGCTAGATGTTAGGGGTCAGGGGAAATATTTTAAAGTATTCAGAAGTCTTTTTTTGAAAAGCATGTGTATCAGTTCCTGTCTGCTGAAAATGAAACAAGTGGAAAAAGTCCAACATGGACATAGGATATAGCTTGGACTTGGCATGTCATCTAACTTTCCTTTCTATTTGTGTTGAAACAGGAAGAGAGCTGCTGATTCATCTGTCCCTCACTCACCAGCTTCTCCTCTCCTGTAACCCGTACCTTCCTAGGTGACTGTGCACAGTGTCACATGGTTCACAGTGCATTGAACCACATTATATTGTCTCTCCCGCTATGTCCGCACTTATCTGTCTGGCCTTTCTTTGCGTAGGATGCAAAAACTGGGGATAACAAGTGACTGTGACAAGACACTCATGACCTTGAGGTCCACATTTGCTACGTGAGCAAAGAAACCAAGCACAGCACAGTAAGGTGAAAGAAAAGCCATTCCACTGCCAAGAAACAATCTAGCCCAAGGGTTAGACACACATACACACACACACACACCTATGCACAATTATTCCAATTATTCATGCATTCACACTACCGTTTCCCTCCCTCCTCCCCCCCAGGCAGCAAGACAAGGCAGTACATTCTGGGTAACACAGAGTCAGTCTCTTCAGAAATCCATCGGATCCTCCTCAGCAAGGCCGTGATTGGAAACGGTCCTACCACCACCTTTTGATGGCATCCCGTCACTCTCAGGTTTTGCCTCAGGGGGTGGTGTAAGCCCTGATCCCCCCTCCGGTGTACCCCAGGGGTCAGTGGTAGGCGGGTAGAAATCATCGTCAAAGCCGCAGAAGCTTTCGTCCACGCCTTGATCATAGCGCTGGTAAGTGGAGGCGTGCACCTCATTCTCTCTGGCTGTGATCTCCAGTGTACTGTTCCACATGCCATAGCCAAAGTAGATGAGCACACCTGGAGAACACAGATACATTTCAATATATATAAAACCACAACAATAACTATAGTGTATTAGAGATTCTGGCAAGATATCAGGAGCTCAAGCACAAATTTGAATGCAGGGAGTAAACATAACCTCTGTACCAACATCACAACAATTCATCCCACTCTGAGTGACTCACAGCAATCCGACTCACACAGTGAAAACAGAAACACAGATATCCACCAGCTGTTGTGTAAAAACAAAAACAGGTATCATGAACACAAGACTGCATGAATTCTGTTTTTAGATAAACAGTAAAAACCTGCATAGAAGCAATGGGACTTAAATCATAAGTTGAATTCAGTAGGCAAACACACAAAGAGACAAACACAACTGCACAGATACACAACTGAGGCAGGAAATAAACATGGAATGATTGTTCCTTGTTTTCTATAAATAAAAACAAACAAAGCCAGTAGATTCAAACTCCTCACTGAACCGAGAGAAATCCACCATTTTTGTATCATTCCATGCTTCATCAAAACACGGCTAGTTCCCATGTGTCCAGGATGGTAGTCTTAAACACTGAAATGCACAACCATGAGGCTTACCCACAAGGCACCAGATTGAAAATCGTATCCAGGTAATTGCAGACAGTTTAAGCATGAGGTAGATGTTGACCAGCATGGCTGAAGCAGGTACAAAGGGCACACAGGGTGCCATGTAGGGCAGCCGCTTGGGGTTCTCTGGCTGCTGGAGGATAATGATGATGAGCAGGGCAATGAAGATGATAAGGAGGATTAATAGCAGCAGAGCCCACCAGCGGCCCTCCCCGATAGTGCTCGCTCCTGGAAGGTGAGGAAACCAAGAAAAATAATGAAAGACAGTTCATTTATGGCTGCACTACACTGTAAATTCCTGTGTGAATCTTGTTAATGTGTTCTCACCAAAAATGATGAAGGAGCAGAAAGCGAAGAGGAGGATGAAGAGGAGTAGCACGCACACAGTGACAGTTTTTCCTGTGGCCGGAGTTGGCCTGTCCATCTTTCCTGGGAGGCCCAGTCGGATCCTCAAGGTGTAGTATCGCGGTCCAATCAGCTTCTTTAACCGCCGGGACATCCCGCCCTCCGACTCCTCTGCTTCAATGCCTGTGGTCATATCCACCGTGCCATAGTTTGGGTGGCTGGCGGTGTAGGCGTTTTTATCTGGTTTGCCAATCAGCATCTCATTGTCACCCAGCGACGGCAGGTTTTTGGCTCCACAGGTGTTAGTGGCCGGACTTCCGTACTCATCGCCCTCACTGGCCGGCGAGCAGGCATCTTTCTCACACTCAGCCAGAACGCCTTCCTTTCTCTTGTTGTTCTGCTCTTGAGAAAGGAAGTTCACAAAGCCGTGGATGTCGCCCTCAGGTTGATAACGTAACAGGAGCACACACAGACTCACCTGCAGACCAGGAGGGGGAACAGTTTAATTTAATTTGTCTGTTTCTTTTTGTTTTACTTTGGTGACTACGCACACAGAATGGAGCATTGTTTTAGTTCAGCTTGGTTATTAGCATTTCTATCATGCATCAGTACCAGCAGCTCGCTGATATCCTAGCTGACAGGCCACCTGTCACAACACTTGCTGCCACTGCTCCCTACATCACAACAACCTCCTTTGTATACGTTTCACCATATGGTATTGCTAAATTTGCTCTGGGTTTTGTATATTTACAGCTATCTCACACAGTATTTCTGTATAATCAATACATTTATTTTTCCAGAAAAATGTTCAGTTCCTTCAAGAGCAGAATCTTTTGTACCCAATGTGACTGTACAAGCATTTTCTTCATTCTTCATTTGGTTCATATCAAGAAACATTGTAGCTGCAACTCCTGGGTTATAAAGGACTGAAAAGAAATCTCTAACATAGTAAGCTAAGTGAAGTGAGTCAGCTGCATCCTATAAAATACCCATATGGCCTGTACTGTATGTATGCCCACCATCATGACCCACCGCTCACCAGGGTATAGGCCAGCAGCGTTCCTATAGACATCATCTCTATGAGATCTCTGAGGCTGACCAGGAGGGACAGGAGGGCAGCCAGAAAGCCTGACACCACACAGGCAACAGCGGGGGTCTCTGTGTAGGAAGACACATGGGCCAGGAACCTGAACACACACCAAGATGAACAGACTGAGACACCTTCACACATCTTCAGCACTAATTTAATAAGCATATAACAATAAACAGTTGTGTGGACTGACTTAAACAGTAGGCCATCCCCTGCCATGGCATAGATGACCCTGGGCATGGGGAACAGGGACCCCAGGAGGGAGACAGTGAGTCCAGCTATAGATCCTACCGCCACGATATACTTTGCAAACATGCAGCCATGCAAGGCAAACATCTCCATCAGTGGGGCATCTGCATCAATCTCATTGTATGGCACCATCAGGGTCAGGATTACAGACACCTGCATGGAAGATGATAAACACACAGACTTGGTCAGTTATGGGTACAGCGTTCCAATTCAGTATTCACTTTTGGGAAAAAAAAATCTAACCTGATATTTATAGTGAAATCTGGCTAAAATAGATGTGTTGATAGTGTTGAGTGACATCCTCACAACCTAGGATTGCATAGCTATTGTATTCAGATTGCATCACATCTAAAAATGTTCATTAGTCATGTTTCTCTTTCTGTGTTGCTGTGTGCTGTGTGTTTTTTATCCCTGCACCTGATGTGTGAAGTAATACAGAACCATCTGTCATAGATACTGTGCCTCAAAAGAGAGGGATTTGCTTGAAAAGATTACAGGAATTTAAAAAAAAAAAAGACTACCCCTAAGATGAAGATGGATATTTGCCTGGTACTATTTCATCTTAATCCAGTCTGGGTGCAGGCTGGTATGAACCAGTCAAAGGAGACTTTACTAATCTATAGGAAATCATACAACAAATCTGGGGTAAACGTCTTTCCTCCCAAAAACAAAGATGATCCCAAACGGCATTGTTACAGCGCTCATTTTAACTCGCTGTCAACCACTTTTCAGTTTGCACATTCATATCACGTCTTGTTGTGATTAAAGGTTTTACAAAAACATGATCTAATACATTTAATGAATTTACACTGACACCCACAGAGCATGGGTGTGAGGAAACTGTGTCTTACACCCTCTCAGTGAGATGTACTGAATAACCAATTTCACGCACACACACAAACAAAACAAAACACACACACACACACATAGACACACACAAACCAGATTCAACATGTAATGAATTTAATGGTTAAATATATTCTGGATCTTGAACTTCAGCAGCTAAGGATTCCTGATGTGAGCAGAAATCTTAATCCAAGATGCAACAGAGTGAGACAGATCAAAGAAAAACAGAGACTGAGAAAGGCTAAGAAAATACATTTTTGAGTACAAGAGGGTACTGGTATGGGGCAATAAACGAGACTGAGACATAGGGAACGAGCAAAACAAGAGTAGCTGAGTTTTGAAGTTAATGCGATCTTTGCGACCCCCCGCCCCCCTCAAAAAATTCTTCTTTCTGATAGGCTACAGTTTCAGGGTACCCATGGCAACATCCATCCAGCACAAGCTCAATATGTAAAATGAATACAGATCAGAGATGGGACACACAGCTGGAGAGCAGGGGGAAGCATTTTGATGTTTTCAGCTTTCCCTCTTTCTGTCCAACACTTCTCAAAATGTGGTGCAAGACTTTCAGACTGTATTCAAGCTATTTCAAGCAATTCTCTTGATCACCCTTTATTATTATTCTTAATAATAAACATTAGTTTTTTTCAAACAAACTGAATTTGGAGCTGTGGTTTTAGTCTACCATCTTCTCACAACTGATGTGTGATTTATTGATTTGTGAAACCCAAATTTGATTTTCTCGTCACTGAGCTGTCTCACCTCAGTACCACGGAAAATGTGTTTAGTTGTGGCAGCACTGATACTTTGAATACCAGGAAGGACTGTTTTGCATTCTTGAATGTCTTCAAACCACTTTTAACTTCTCAAATGTTAATAAGGGAAAACAAATAAAGCATTTACTGTTAGTGCTAGTGGATGGAGTGTGTCTGTGGTCTCCAAGACAACTTACAGAGACATAGGCAGTGAGACAGGTAATGAGTGAGGCAGTGATGGCATAAGGGATGGATGTGTTGGGACTCTTGGCTTCTTCTCCTGTTGTTGCAATGATGTCAAAACCAATGAAGGCATAGAAACAGGTCGCTGCACCCTGCATCACCTGGAACAAACGAGAAGCAAGAGAAATGAAGGCTTACACAAAGACCAGAAGCAGATGGGGTATAATCTACCTACACACCGGCCCTTCATGTTTTACTTGCTTGCACATGAGTGTGTGCATACCCCCGACCAGCCAAAGGGCAGGAACCTCCCCTCGGCCCAGTTCTCTCCGTTGACAAAGAACAGCCCAGCGATCATCATGAACACCCACACTATGAGGTTGATGACGTTCAGCATGTTGTTGAAGCCCACAGAGTTCTTCACTCCTAAAGCCACTATCACTGTCACCAGCAGTGCGATCAGCAGCGCCAGCAGGTCTGGGTACGCCTGCTCCCCTTTACCTGAGGGGAAATACATGCATGCTCAAATGCAAACCTTTTTTTAAAATATGTATTACTCATTATAGTGATCTTACGGACCTTCTCCAGATTTATAAACAACTTCGCTCACTACAATCCTCATCAACAAGTCTAGCAACCATTAAGCCCAGCACAATAGGCGCCAGGGCTGCACCAAAACTCTGGAATTCACTTCTCCCTCACTTCTGAACATTAGACTCCATTACATAATGTTGTGTTTTTATTGTAATTTTATATTTTACTAATGACTTCGATGTAAAGTGACCTTAGGCGTCATGAAAGGTGCCACCAAATAAAATGTATCATTATTATTATTATTATTAAATTCATAGAAATATTGAGAAAAGCCAAGTTGACTTCTAGGATTAAAACAGTGCTCTTCTGATCTATCCACCCACAACAGTGGTCCTCAGGTTAATTCTGGCCCTTGGGTCACAATTAGTTGAAAACCCTTGAGCTAAAGCATTACATTGAATCTTAACTAGTCACTCAACACAGTAACAAAGCTCAGCAACACATGTTTGCACAAGAACCCACTATGATGGAAACTAATGAGACATATTTTGAGCTGAATTCTATTCCTCGGGGGTGTGGATGAACAGGAGTTTTTCTCCAGCAGGAAAAGGAAACATGAACTTTCCATTATACTGTGGAACAGCTGGCCATGCTGCTTGGCATGTTACCATTACCACTGCTTTGTCAGTGTCCAACAGGAAGAGACTGTCAGGGTGGTGTCCCCCAGATAGGAACACAGCTGGTGCACATGGCAACTATAGTATAACACCAGCGTAGCAGGCGTTCACCTCTTGGTCTTGTATATGGCAAGGAAAACTGTTGCATCAGTCGTCTAGAAATCTAAGATGTTACTTTCCATGATGACATGATTTCCAAGACAAGCAGTGAAACATCAACTGGATGCTCCCTGGAACAGCACTGGCATGGGTCGGGTGTTTTCCCAGACGGTGTCATCTCACAGTGACGTTCAGCATCTATTCTGTGATACAGATGACTCTGTGACTCTATTGTGTAGCTAACATGTTCAAAATTGCAGGGAGGTATGCTCAACTGCAAACGGCACATTGCAAGTACTGTTGTTTGTTCAGTGCCTGCAGTTACTACAACATTTTGCTTCTGTTAAAGTAATGCATGACTATAAGAGGTGAGCAACATTACTACAGAAAAGACTTCATGACAGCAAAGATAGAACTTATGAAATCTGCTCCTTTGAGTCAACAGATGCAGATGGCATACAGTAACTGTTACTCAACCCCGGAAAACAGAGGTTCAAGCACCACAGCAGGAAGCATCTGCCTTGTACACCTATAGCTACGAGGACAAAGCTGACCTTCTTGTGGAGAGTGAGAAGGAAAGAGGATCATCTCTCTCCAGAGATCACTTTGGAGAATGTGTGTTAATAGAAATCTTTACTTGACAGTTGATGATAGATGTATTAGTGAGACTATATTCTTCCTAGATAAAAGAAACTCCGCATTTTTGCTATACCCTACATGATTGTATTTGCCATGTGTTAGTTATTTCCAAGGAATGAGAGGAAAAGATAATACATTTTCTTACTTCACATTCTGACTTCCTATTACATAACAGCTTCCTGAAAGCATCCCTACTTTATCAGTGACCCCAGCAATGAATACAAATCTAAAACTTGATCCACATCAAATATTAGTCCAAATCCTGAAACTAAAACTCAAAATAACTTTGTTTCAAACTGCATTTTTTCTCTACAGGTACAAGACTGTGTGCCACTCACCCAAACTGTTGAGTGTCCCGATGTGTGAAATCATAAAGTCGCTGATGCTGTGATTGGCCAGCGAGTCAGCCATGCTGCTGAGAGCCGACGCCCCTGCCGCTGTGCCAATCAGATACTCCAGAATTAAGTTCCACCCAATGAAGAATGCCACGCACTCCCCCACAGTCACATAGCTGTATGTGTAGGCTGAACCTGTGGTCTTAGGCACGCGCACCCCAAACTCCGCATAACACACTCCTGAGGGACAGAGGGGAAGACCGGGATGGACACACATACATGTAAAAATGGATACGAGTGTGTTTCATATTATAGCTTTACCTTTATAAAGTCTTCGCCCTTGTAATAACTGCACAGGTATTAAAAGGCTCTTCATATAATATTGGTGTAATGGTGATAAAACTGACATTATCCAGTGGACTATAATACATTTTGTCTAGTGTGTGTGTGCTTGAGAGAGAGAGAGAGAATTTAAGACCAGAAATACAATCAGTAAACTAATATGTGTACAGTATATGCATCTGCTTCAGTCTCACCTGACAGTATGGAGGCCACAGCAGCGATAATGAAGGACACAATGACCCCTGGACCAGCCATCTCCTTGGCGACCAGCCCCGAGACCACATACATACCCGTGCCAACGCAGCTTCCCACTCCCAGCGACACCAGGTCCACTGTAGACAACACCCGAGCTAGTCTGGTCCCGTGGGAGCTCGTGCCCGACATGGCCGAATCCAACATGGACTCCACAGGTTTGGTCCTCAGGACACGGGATGTAAAGGCATTCCATGTTGCGCCCCACTGTATCCTGCGAGGGTCCAGCTTTCCTACTAAACTGCTCATACTGAGGTCAAAAGTTCAAGGATCAGAGTGAAAGGGAAAAATTTCCTACTGGTTCCTTTTCCTTAGTTTTTTCACAGTTTACTTGAGCAAACAACTGCACTGAGCACTCAGGAAAAGGAATTATTCCCAATCAAAATGATGGAGGAAGATATCAGTTTTCTGCCACCTCACTCTCGTCCTGCTTTAGAGGAATGCCATCTCAGGTTTTCTCCACATGGTGAGATAGAAAGCTATCTGAAAAATAAAGGTGTGATGATTAATTTTTGCCGCATTTCACAGCACATTGCCTTATGCTATTTGTCTAACACAGTGCTTAGTTTTGAGTGAATATGCCAAGACAAGAGCCCGGTGGTGGAAATGTATTACACATTTGTGTACAAATGAAACATACTTGAATGAGGATGCATCTAATTAGCAGTCCTCTCCCCGTAGCCCTGTTGTTATAGTAACCCAGCTCACTGGTGATAGCAATGGACACTAAATCCCTTTCTCTTGTTTTTATGAGAGAGAGAGATGACATACAATTCTACTTTACATTTTCCAATATGTTTAATCTGTGAGCAAATAAAAATCCAAACAGACATGCCAAGATTTCACTGTGCTGAGGGCAAAATACAGCGGGTTTGTGATATGGGTCTATAATACTGCCTGTTATCTTTACAATATAATTACAGACATTTTATACACTGCTCACATTACAGATTTACTGCATATATATGTAATAGAATCAGTGTTACTACAGTACTAACTTAAAAGTATTTAATTTACTAGGGTTTTATATTCTTTTATGCTACTCCATTAGATTTTAGGTTGAAATGTTGTGGCCATTATATCACTGAAAATATTGTGTTGCTAGTTTTATTTAAGAAAGGATCTGAAAAAAACCCCACAACTAATAAAAAAAATAAAAAAACACATTAAAATGCTTCCTCATGTTTAGAAAATATGTCCTGAAGTCCAGATTACAGTAAATCGACAAAATGAAACTCATGAGTGCCAGAACAATGTCAGAAATGTGTCTGTGCAAACTGGTTAACAAAAGAAACATGCAGCTGAAAATGTATGGCAGGAACTAGCAAAGCAATTAAAATCTAGAGATGAATTTTTGCAGAATAATAATGACTCTTTAGTACGGTACTTTTTTACAATAATAGAGCCTTTTGAAACTGTGGAGGCTTTATTATACTTCTCCGTAGCTTTTCCATGATGTCACTGATGTCATATTAGTAATAGTTTGCTAATAAAAAAGGGCTATTGTACAGTACTTATCAACTGCAGCCCAGTCCACCTCATGCTCTTCCTCTCTCTATCGCTTTAGCGCTCACCATTCATCCACTTTGAACAACAATCACAAGTTGCTGAACAAACACACATTCACATGCAGCGTACCCACGTTGCCTCTCACAGCTATAATATGAGCCCCTCAAATGATGACTGCAATTACCCAGCAGTTTTATGAGAGTAGGCCGGGGCTGCTATTGTCACTGCACTTAGCGGGAATGCAAGCATGTGCATGTGATGGTGAATGTCAGGCGGGGTGATGTGCATGTATTGTGGTTTTGGTGTAATAAGGTTTCACAATTCATGGACAGAAAGAGAGACAAGAAGACACGACGTGTGACATGAAACTGATCCAAACAAATAGCGGTAACACAATGTGACAGAGTTGGTAAAGTCACAGCCAAAATATGAACCTTTATTAAACTCAGAAGTAGAGGTGAGGCAATTATGACTTTCCTAAGATCCCACACTCAAAGGCATGTTACAGCGTTCTTTTGTTAGGCAGCATAATTCTGGTAATTAGTCTAAAAGGAAATTAAATTACACAGTAGCACTTTAGTTGGTCCATAGATTGTCAGTAGCCTCATGTGCTAGGTTGACGAACCATGCAATCCTAAAAGTACCGAACTTTGTCCAGAATTGAATATCTACAAATAATTTTTCACACTACAGCCCCAAACATGCACGCTCCAAAGACTTGGATATACACAAATACAGAGAAACAATGTCACAGTTACACAATGATAGACTTTTTATAAATCAAGCACACACACAGTCAGCAGCACAGATCAACACTCTGTCATGACAGGATCATTAGTGAGTGAGTGAGAGTGTGTGTGTGTGTGTGTGTGTGTGTGTGAGGAGAACAGTCGAAAGATGAATCAATTAGTAGGACAGGATGAGGAAGATGAGCAGACAGAAAAACAGCAAATCTGCTTTTCATTAGTGCATTGAGCTTTGATCCTCTTGTTGGGCTTTGTCAATAAATGGGTGTGTGTGTAAAAGACAGAGTGTGTGTGTGTGTGTGCTTGTGGAAAAGCCAGACAAACCCTTTTAGACCTTTAAAGCGAGACACCGATACATACACACGAATCCAATCACATTCAGCGATGCTTTGAAAAACGGCACCTTGGAATGAAATACACCCTGTCTGAGATTGTTTTGCTTATGGGACGTGTATTACAGTAAGTTCTCTTTACACACACACACACACACACACACACACACACACACACACACACACACACACACAGCCTTTTATGATTCCATATCATAAATCAAATCTTGCAAGCGGTCTGTTTTCCAAAAACCTGTTACATTTTAATATTGCCTGACTAGTTTCATCGACTGTGACCACCACCTGCCCTGCGTTGAGTGTGCAGTGTTTGAACAGCGGTAGATCAACAAAACAGGGCTGCACAAAGCACTGCGGCAGCAGGTGCTGCCTCTGTTCGGTGCTGGAAAACTGAACTCAGTTCACTAACAGTCCTCAGTGTGATAAAGGCTAATCCACGAGCATTAAAGCTTTGTAGCAACTGAGGCAGTCACTGTCACAGTTACATATAAACAACTGATATCTAAAGCGTTACAGTTACATTGTGATCTGTCCTGTTCTATTTAATAAAGGAGGATAAAGGTCTGGTGTTGTGGAGGTTATTCTAAGACTGCTTTTGTGGCTTGGAGTCTTTACACTAGAGTTACACTCAAAAGGCCTAAATGAAATCTATTAGCGTGCAGACCTACTCATATAATATTAGGAGGTCAAGATTACAGTCACTCATCTCAAGCTATCCTAAAGGTTTTTGGGACTTTTTAGCTGACCGTATAAACAAAGTACCCTGCCTCTGATGGCACAGTCTGCCACAGCTATCTGTAGCTACACTTGCATGTAGCTGCACTGTGCTGTAATGCAACTGTTGCTTTTAAGTAGCATTTTAATCCTTTATCTATTTGTTTGCATTGTGTTTAGCACTTTGAATTGCCTTTGTATATTTGCCTTGCCTCATGTAGCTCAGATACGTAGGAGCACAAACTAATGATAACCTCCAGACTTGTCCTTTTTCTGTTCTGTTTGTATGTTTAGTTAGATGGCAGCATTTCTATGCAATTTGGTGGAATGCTACAGATCCAGAGCAACATACATACAAAAGCAGATGCTGATTAAAATGTCTAATTTGATCATATTCAAATAAACCACACTGTATGTGAGCACTTGTTTAATATTACTGAGGATAATACAGACAACATTTTACTGTTACTATCTGAGAGGTACATAACATAATTACTATGAGGCAATTAGCTTAGCTTAGAATAAAGACTGGAAACAGGGAAATTGTTAGCCTTGCTCTGTCCAAAAATCTGGAGTCTCGTACCCACTCTAGTATAACATTACAGCAAACATTAGCAAAACCAGATTGGCTGCAAAAAGGTGACAGCTGGGCAAAACAAAAGGCACTTTTATTATCTTGCTGCCACTTAAAACTGTATAAGTTATAAAATACAGTCACGGCCCTTAGTGCAAACAGGTGACATGTTTTCCAGGTGAGAGAGCTTGCATATGTGCTAAGCACAGATATGAAAGATCCATCTTGTCCTCTAACTCTCAGAAAGAAAGTGTACTTCCTAAAACATCTAACTGTTCCTTTTAGCTTGACTTTCTCCTGTTGCACCCAACTAAAAAAATTTATTCCACTGCCTGATCTTAGATGTTGAATCATTTATTGAGGCTATAAATTTCATATCTGTTGAAGCATCTAACCATGAAATCACTCATACCACTGATGCTGAAGCTATGAGTAACAGAAAGATGTGAAATAAGTCTGCCATGTCCCAGTGTGGGAGCAATACACTGCTGTTGTGTTTACAGCCGCCCCGTTTCACACAGACAAGCAGTGTAATTGAATTCTGAACAAGACCTTTTCAATATTATAGCATTAAACAAATACCCATTATCTTCTTGGTCAGAGAGCTACTGTTTAAAAATCAATAGTTGAACCCGTCATCATAATCATCAGCTCTACCACCACCTCTAGCATTAGTGTGCGTCTTCTCAAGATAAGAGAGCTGTCAGAATATTCATCCTTGTGTCCGATCAGCCGTGACTAAGCCTGTCTCCGTGTCCACTCCTGCCTGCGTCTGAATTACCGGAGGAATAACCTAATTGAGCTCGTGTTGCATTTACAGTAAGGGCTGCATTGGCTTACTGTAATAAAGCTGAGAGCCCTTATGATTCACTCAAATTCAACCTGGCAACCAGCCTGCATCACGTGGCTGTAGCCCCAACAAAAATCAGACCTGGCAAGCATCCCTGACCCTGTTCTCACGTCCTACAGACAGAACAGAAAGGAGCCAACTCATCCTCATTTGGTATAACACCCGAGTCAGCGAAGTCGCTGTGCTGTATTAGTTGATTTCTCTTGTTCCCTCAATCACACTGTTTCTCTGTCACTCACTGCCTAAAACTAGCTGTTTTGGCAAGCTGCTTTCTAGGAAAGTCAGTCCATCGGTATTTTGTTTTGTACCGACGTTTATGGTTCTCAGATGATGCATTCCACTGACTTTTGACAGTGTCTTGCACGACCATGAGCTTCACATTGATGGTTTTGAGTGAAATGTCTCAACAACTATGGGATAACTATTACATGTCTGTCTGCAGACAGACAGACATATAGATACTGTAGATAGATAGATATGAAACATGCATGAGTTGTGCACACCTGCATGAATGATGCACAGCTCTACTTAAGAGCCTCTCAGTGCTGAGATTTATAAGGCCAGCCTCTGTGGACTGTTACACAGCAGTACTTAAAGCACCATTCAGTCTACAGTTTACAGTCACTCTGACTAATAGTATATTCATGCTCATTTAATCACTGCTGTCCCCATCTCCGTAGTACTTACTGTTAAATGTAGTCTATGAAACACATCTGATTTGTAATACTGTGTTATTTTAGGTCAAAAACAACAGAACTTTATGTAATGAAATACATAAACCCCTAAAAAGCAACATACAGAAAACCTTAAAGAATATCAGCAGTAATTGGCTGGTTTCAAAGTGGAGATGTGGAGCCCTAAATTCATTTTCTCCTGCCTGACTGATTTGGATGACTGTCTGGCTGAGTCGATGCCTTGGCTGGCTGGCTGGCTGGCTGGCTATGATCTCCCTATCTGACAAGCTTAATGAATCTAATTTTTTATTTGACACAAAAAGAGAAATTGCTGCCTGCCAGGTTGCTTTCATCGCCTGGCACACTTCAACTATCCCTGTTCATCTGAACTTTTCCTAAACTGATTGCTAATTAGGAACAACGATGCTCCCCTCAGCTTCACCGAGGCGGCTACCTGACTGGCTCAATAATTTGATGATTATGTTGGTTTATCTACATGGTGTAATGGAACAGCAGAGGATACACTACGCACCCAGCATGTCAGTGTGCAAAGGGAAAGAAAACAGTAATCACAGTAATTGGATCATTTGTAAAGTCTAAATTTGATACACAGCATAAACAAAGAAATGTCTGTCTGCATACTAGTCAACATTCTGTCACTTCTGCACATTTATTTCAATGTCTCACTGACAGACACCATTAGAACTGCTAAAAGATCGATATAAACACAGACACGTCCCTGTGCCTCAGTTACTTGACTGTTGGACCAGTTGGCTCATTTTCTGGCCTGCTGATGGATCTGATTCACTTCCAATAATGACATTAAGCCAAAACATGTTGATCTGTAACAACTGACATAACAGAAATAAGAAAAACTATGGTTGTGTGTCTGTTTGAGGTACATCACCCCTATCTGTCAAACATTTCCAAGGAGAAAGCTGTTGGCTTTGGTGCCAGGACACAGACACATTTCTCTGCATGTCTGACCTGTCAGCCAGCCTAGTTCACTCTCAATTTGGCCTTTCATGTCCCCATCTATCTTGCCTTAATGTAGCACAGTGGGAGCCTGAAGCTCAAAGCACACTGGATGGGGCTCCAGACTGTAACATAAATAAAAACAACAGTGCCACTCCCTCCAGCTCCCTGACAAACCAGCCGTATCGATGACATCTCTCTCCGTGTGACCTTAAGCTCTAAAAAACAACAGGGTCATTTCACACACTCAGGGCAGCTGTAGACAAACTAGATGCCTGAGTATAAACCTGGTTCCAGACAGTCAGGATCATGCTGACTATTCCTTTAACAAAGAATAATAGAGTAAGGTTAAAACACTTATGGAATATGAAAATACTGTCAGTGGTTGCCAGAACTATTTTTCTCTGTAATGTTGTTTCTAGTGATTGAAT